CCGCTTTCGCGTGTTCCAGCCTGTTCTTGTTGCGCCCTTAGCGCACGTTGCCTTCGTCGCTTTTCCCGAGCCCCCCGCCCCCTTGCTTCCTTTCCCCTCAAGTCTCGCGCGCGGGTGCAGGCGGGGGGCTTCAATTAGTTCCCCCGCCGAACACAGCAATCGACGATGCATCGCCCATTCATGACTTTAAAAGACATCATTGCCGGGACCCTGCGCCCGACCCCCACTTTCACCCTCCAACTCTGGCCCGGGGCGCTGCAGGTCCGCGCCTCCATCGCTAGTTCGCGATGCGCCGCGCGGCAACCGTCGGCGCTGTCGCTCCACAAACGGCAATCCCCAAGGCCTTGTCGGGAGTGGCGCCCAGGCCGCCGCCCCGCCTCCGGCGGGCTTCGCGGGCTGAGCTGGCCTCTGACTCTGCTGCGGCGGCGGCGGCGGCGGCCGGGCGCCGCCCCCCGCCGCTGCCCGCCGCGCCCGCCTCCGCGCTGCTGAGGCGAGGCGGGGCAGCTGACGCGTCGGGCATTGCGCCCGACGGCGCGCCGTCCATTCAGTCGACCAGGCCGCCTGCTGCCGCCGTTGCCTGGCGTCCGGCGGCGCGCTTGCGCGGTGGGCGGGGTGCGGGGGCGTGCGCGTCCGCGCCCCCGAATGCGGTCTCGTTGATAACATGCGCCCGCGCCCGGCCGCGGGGCCCCCAGTCGCCGGGTGCTTCTCCGCGCGGGCGTTCCACAGCTCGGGCTGCGCCGCGTCGTCGGCCCCGCGATGGCGAACTAATATTTGGGGTAGAGGAGCGAGGGCTGGCATATGCCTTCCTCGCGCGCGTCGAGTGCCGAGGGGTGTGCCGAGCCCAGGGAATTGGCGCGCGACGTGAAGACAAGCCAGCCAGACTGCCGCGCCTCGAAATTTGATTGGGCCCGTCAGCGCTCGCGTCTCCAACTTGCCGTCGAACATTTGCGCTTCGAGCTTCCGGTATTTTGCTGCCCGGCGGCCGCAGGGCCCGAGCGCGGAGACGTCGACGCGGGTGGCGGGCTTGCCGATCTCCGCCGTAAAGGCTGGGCAACTGCTCCTCCGTTGGCCCAGCCTGCTGGTGGCCGCGGCGGCCCATCAGCGACCGCGATGCGCCGCTGGCGCGCCTCGTCGATGATGTCCTTGCCAATGGTGGTGAAGACGCCCTCGCCGCCTTGGTCAAGGAACTCGGCCGCGAGCCGCCTGTCGCCCGCGCGTGGCTCGGCAGGCGCCGGCGCCTCCGCCCGAGTGGCCGGCCGAGGCGGCGGGGCCGCTGGCAGCGCGGCGCCCGAGCTCGGCATCGGCAGCCTCGCCGCGTCGGACAAGCGCGGCGCGGATGGCGCGCGCGGCTCGCCCCCGGCCAGCGCCCGTCACGGGGGGCGCCGTCTACCGCGAGCGCCCCGGGACTTGGGCCAGGTCGCCTTCTGGCGTCGACGCGAAGTCCGTGATTTCGGTGGCCTGGTCGCCGCCGACGGCGACCAGCGCCTCGCCGAATGGAACGCCCGAAACCAAGGGATGCTAAGGTGGTCGCAAGTTGCAGCACCGGGAAGGCGGAGAGGGAAGCCCGCTGCCCGAGACAGATGCGACCATGTGCGAAGAGCTGGAACCGAACGCAGTCAATTGGAGGGCAGCTGCAACCGTGTGGCTGCAGCTACCCCGTGAAGTTCAAAGCGAACGTGAATGGCCTGCAGTGTCGGGACAGGGTGTTGGCGTAAATTTCCAGCTGCAGTGCAGGCTGGCCGCATGTGAAGAATCTGATGCAGACGTCATCAGCGGGTGAACGAACACCTGCGGCAACAGCAACCGTCAGCTGAAGTGCCCAAACCCGCACGTCTGGCTCCGTCTACAGATGGCCCCTGGACGCCTGGGGCCTTCCGCGGGACCAGTTCTGTATCCCGAGCCGCTTAAAGCCTCTTGAACACATTTCCCTCAGGACCCCTCTCCTTCGTTGGAAGAAAGGCGAACAACAAAACATCCACTATCGGTTGTCCGCGCGGATTTCTCGGACCGGCGCGAAACCCTGTACAATCGCGGCGCCTCCACCGCCGCCCCCCGCGCGCTGGGCGCGCCAGGAAAGGGGTCCAACAGCCGATCTAATAGATCCGCGTGGGCTGTCGAAAAGCTATGCTTGGACACTTTGTGTTTCTTCGACTCATGGTGATCATGGTGTGACGACGTCGACGCTGGCTCTCGGGTGCGCCGAAGACGCGGCCAACACGTGGGCGGGTTGCGCATCATGGCCCGAGGCATGTGCGCTGAATAAAAAAGGTTGGCTGTGAAATCTGGGAATTCATGGCCCTAGCCGGGAACTGTTTTTGAGTCCCCATGTGTGATACGGAAAAACCTGGAGGTCCAGGATGCTGCCTGTTCATATCTGTTCATGGGGAGCACTGCGCAATATCTAGTGTCTACATGGGTCAGCATGTGAGCGTGGAAAACTTAAATAGAGTAATGCACCCTGGGGGAACTTACGCGAGATCTCGGGAGGCCCGAACTACACATTTTTATTATTATCAGAAGAAAAAGAATAGCAATGACACGACATAGTGACAATAAGAAGACTACGAATAGGCATACTATACGTTCAATGGAAGTGACAATAATCATGCTAGTACTACCAATAGTACGAATAATAATCACAACTGCAATGATGCGATTAATCATACAAACAATAAGAACACACAATCATGACATTATAAATAATAACGACAGAACGTAAACATAATTTTTTGGCGCTCCACGAGGATTTCTTGGATCTGCGCTGGACTCTCCTCGTTGACGCGCGTAGCGCGCCATTGGCGGCACCGGAGGCGACGCAGGGGGCCCAGCGCGGATCCAAGAAATCCGCGCGGAGCGTCGAAAGTTTATGCTTATAACGGTTTGTTCTTCGTATATCCCTGACCATTCCATGCATAGAGAACACGGGGCTCGGCATGACATCGCCCCCTTCCTAGCCCCCCGGCCCCCAACGGTTTGATTGTTCTTGGTAGTTCCCAAACGTCGAAACGTGGTGGTGACAATACCCGGCGGTGAATCTCGGGCGATTTGGTGTCACCACCCGGTCTGGGGACTCGTGTGGTTTTTCGAGGGTGTCCCAGACGCTGGTGGGTCCATAAGTCACACAACCGGGCGGTGACCCAGTGTTCCAAAACCCGGCGGTGTCTTTTTGGGGACTCCAGGTCGCCACCTGATTTCTCACCACCTGGTTTGGGGGCTCCCAACTTTCACCGCGTGAAGCCCCCAGACCCCGGAGGGCCCTTCCACTTCCCTGGGATATTTTTTTCGCCCCGAGCCGTTTTCCAACGGCCCCAGCAGTGTGGGAAAGGCCCCCAGAAGGCCGAGAGTGGCCGAAGGCCTTCCGAGAGGATCTTCTCGCGACTCGAAGGGGTCTTGCGGCCTACTTCTCACCCTCCTCCAGTGAAGGGGCCCAGGGACACACACACACACAGACACAGACACAGACACAGACACAAACACAAACACAGACACAGACACGGACACGGACACAGACACACACAGACATACAGACAGACAGACAGACAGACAGACAGACAGACAGACAGACACACAGACAGACAGACAGACAGACAGACAGACAGACAGACTGACAGACAGACACACACACAACATACACAACACACACAACACACAACACACACAACACACACACACAACACACAACACACACAACACACAACACACACACACACTCTACAGACACACACACACAGACACACTCGGGTCGGGCGAAAGGGGGGGATAGCAAAGGGGGGGTTTGAGAATCAGCTCACGTAGCTGATTTTCCCGGCGCCTCCCGGCGCCGGGAGGCGCCCATGTATCGAGGAATGGGCCCCTCGGTCGGGCCGAAACCAGCTGCATGCAGCAGATTTCGTAACCCCCCCTTTCCCAAACCCCCCCTTTCGCCCGACCCGACACACACACCACACACACCACACACACACACACCCACACACAAACACAAGCACAAGCACAAGCACAAGCACAAGCACAAACATCAGCACAAACACAAACACACACACATACACATACACATACACATACACACACGCACACACACACACACACGGACACAAATCCCAATATTCCCAATATTTTCCCGTATCTTCTGGGGTTCCGTCTTCCTCCCCACTTCCCATATTTTCCTGAGGATCGACGTTGAATTGTGTCTGTGTTTTATTCCCCTCCTGATCCATGTGGGGAAACAGAACATACCGACACGGCTGCTCCCTGGACCTCTTCTAGGGTGCGCCCTGCCCAGAACTTCGAGGCAAATCCAGCCGTGGCGGCGAGGGCCTCTCATGAGGCCCAGAAAGACGAACAGCGGCATCTGTATTTTACCTTTCCCCCCCACCCCTCCCCCTCGTGGGCGCTCCCGAACGACGGCTTCCGCGAGCATCTGCGTGGTGCCGGGCCCACAATTCGTCGGAGGAATGTCCAAGCTCTCCACCGCCTCAAGCGGTTAGCAGCAGGAGCGCAGCAAAACCACAAGAAAGCGCAGCATTGACAATGTACCGCGGGTTCGTGTCGCGTCGACCCCGGCGTTGGTTCTGGACACTGCGGGGAGCGCTCCAGCTGGAACGATCGGCCGCTTCCGAAACGTCGGATCGTTCAGCATCGACCGGCTCTGGGCCGCCCGCGGCGTTCCACGCTGCACGCCGGCGGCGGGGGCGCCGCTGGTCGACGCGACGCGAACCTGCCGTAGCTTGAAGTCGGGACTGTCCCCCTACAGGGGGATTTACGACGAAAAATTACAAATACACCAAAAATACCCCAAAATATAAACAAAAATACAAAAAAATAATCCCCAGACTACTTGTGGACTATTTTTTGACTATTTTTGGGTTTCTTTTTTTTGGGTCGAAAATCCCCCTGTCCGTAGCTCTGCACACGTGTCAAATGCCCTGGCGAGAAAGAGCGCCGCAAAACCCGAGGACGGAGCTCCCTCCGAGGAGCGCTGCGCGGCGGGGCGCGCGCGCGTCCCGCGGCGGCTCCGGGGGCTCGTCCGGGCAGCCCCGGCCCTCGTTGGCGCAGCACCACTCCTGCACGCGCGGGCGGAGGGGGAGGCAAGGACGTGGAGGACCCAGACGCCGAACTCGGTCCACCACCAGAGGCCTCCTAGGTGGGGTCGGACTAGATGGGGTCGGAGGATCGCGCCGCAGCGCCGATGCATCGGCGATGCAGCGGCGATGCGTCGGTGATGCACCGGCGATGCATCGTCGGCGTCGGCGATGCATCGGCAACGTCGACGCGGAGCAAATCGGGCTGCACATCGAGCCGCATCCGCGATGCATCGGCGATGCGGCGCGATCCTCCGACCCCATCTAGGAGGCCTAGAGGCAAGGACGTGGAGGACCCAGACCCCCCCCGAGTCGTGACAAGAGCCACGACGGGAAGGTTCGGCCATTCTCGGCCCCCTGGGGGGCCTCCTTTCCAGGCGCCCAGGCCCTCACAGAAAGGCTCGAGGTGAAGATCCGGTCTCAAGGACGGGGTCGAGACCTCCGGGCGGGGGCCTTCGTGGTGAAACAGCAAAAACACCGCGTCGGGGGTCTGGGGAGGAGGTACACTCAGCCCGTGCCACAAGGAAAGATGCAAGGGCCTCGGGGGCCCGTGCGAACGCTTTTTCCCGACGCGGCCGGCCAGCGAACGCGGCCAAGGATGGGCCGAGGAGGCGAGAATGCAAGGATGCCCTTGGGACGGATGCCCATCCTTACCATGGGGGTTGGAGGAGGAGGAGGAGGAGGAGGAGGAGGAGGAGGAGGAGGAAGGAGGAGGAGGAGGAGGAGGAGGAGGAGGAGGAGGAGGAGGAGGGGGAGGAGGGGGAGGAGGGCAAAGTCTCTACGGTTCTGGGTTGGCCCCGGGCCCGCCCGCGAAGGGGCACGAGGCCCAAGCGGAGCGGAGAGGCCGGCGGCCCCCGGCGAAGGCGACGACGACGGGCAACGGACGCCGACGGCGACGACAAAGGCGCGACGCGGCGACGAGAAGGCGCTGGGAGGAGAGAAGGGGAAGGTGGATGGCGACGTGGAAACGGGCAGTTCGAGACGGGACGGAACCGGAATGCAGACCAGTGCTGTAGATCCCTGCGCTGGAGGCGGCACAGGGGGGGGACAAGATGAAAAGAGAGAGGTGCGGAGGAGGAGGAGGCATGCGAGGGAGACGAACGAGGAGGAATGACGACGGAGGAAGGAGAGGGGGGAAGAGGCAGGCGGAGGGACGATGAAGAATCGGGGGGGAGGCGTGGGGGAGGGGAGGTGGAGGGGCCTGGAGGTGCCGGCAGAGGGCCACGGCGTGTGGTATGATGACAGGCCTCGGGGGAGGACCTGCAGAACATTGAAGGGGCCACACAAATCAATGCACACAAATCAAGTGATGCCCCATATTTTCATACATATTTTCTGAGTTCCTGTCTTCCCCCCCACTTCCCATATTTTCCCATCCTTCCTGGGGGTCGACGATTAGTTGCGTCTGTGTGTTTTCTCCCCTCCGCCGCCGCGACACGTGCGCGCGCCAGGAGGCGCCTCGCCGCCCGGCCGCCGCCGCGCGGCCCTCCGGGGGCGGCCACCGCCTCCCCCCGCCGTGCCACCGCCGCCACGGAGGGCTGCCGCGGCCGCTGCTGCACCCCCCGCTATCGAGCTCGGCCGTGCTGGGTCGGGAGCGCGGCGGCCCAGGGACCTCGGGTCGGGCGAAAGGGGGGGGGTAGCAAAGGGGGGGTTTGAGAATCAGCTCCCGTGGCTGATCTTCCCGGCGCCTCCCGGCGCCGGGAGGCGCCCATGTATCGAGGACTGGGCCCCTCGGTGAGGCCGAAACCAGCTGCATGCAGCAAATTTCGTAATCCCCCCTTTCCCAATCCCCCCCTTTCGTCCAGCCCGAGAACCGCTTCCGAGTGTGACTCGAGGGGCTGCGACCCCAGAGGGGCCCGAGGGAGACACGCAGCAGGCTCCCTTGCCGCGCGCGCCGCCGCCGCCGCCGCGGCTGGTGGCTGCCGCCCGCCGCCGGCCTTCTCCGTGAGCTCGCCCTGGTCTGCGGTCCCGTCGTCGGCCGTCTCTCCCGACGCCGCCGCGCCCTGCACACCGCAGTCCTGCATCACAGCGCCTCGGCCGCCCTGGCCGCAGGGCACGCTCTGCTTCGCGGCGTCGCCGACGAAGCCAGCCAGCGCAGCAAGCGGGTCCCCGCTAGGGTCACGTAGGTGGACCTCCCAGAATCGGGGAGACGTAAGGAAGACTCGGGTTCGGGGGGCTCAGGTTGACCTGACGGGGCCGTCAGAAAACATGACGACACGTTATCTGAAATTTGACCCACATTCCCGCTGAACATATCCTATGGGAACTGGCCCGTCAGAATCCAGGACGTGCCCGTCAAACAGCGTCGGCAAACCCGAGTTCCGGCTGACTCGAATCTTACGCGCTTCCCCGACGGAATGCTGCATGCGATGGGCCGCAGAAGGACATGCCAGTAACTGGTACTATGCGCCCTCCATGGAGGTGCACGTCCAAACCGAACCTATGTACTAAGATCATACAACATATCGTTACCCGGGCGGTATAGCGAGAACGTGAGCGCCACTAAAGTTCCACTGGGAGGGCGACGCACGCATCGGATAAGTATGCCTGGGAATTGTCGATGCGATGGTGATGGTGGCTACTCAAACTTTGCTCGGGTAATTGGGCGCCCGAGTTATCTGGGGTAACTCGGGTCCGGGGTAACTCGGGTTTGGATTCCCGAAAAAGGAACCCGAGTTATCCCTGACCCGAGTTACCCCTGATGATTCGGGGCTCTGGACGCCCGAGTTATCCGGGGTAACTCGGGTCCGGGGTAAGTCGGGTTCGGATTCCCGAAAAAGGAACCCGAGTTATCCCTGACCCGAGTTACCCCTGATGATTCGGGGCTCTGAGGTAACGCATCGGGCGCAGAAGCAACGCGTAGCTTTACCAGCGGCGTGCAAGCGGCAACGACTTCGTGAGCCCATGAGCTCACCGGCCGGCACGCGTTCTTATGCCTCTTGGTCCACAGCTCTGAGGTCTTCGCAAGCTCAGAAACCACGGACCCCATGTGGACCTCAGGGGCCCAAGGGCTCCCCAGCCTCCTCAGAGCCGTGGCATCAGAGGCTGCGCAGGCTTATTCGCGCACGGCCTGGAGGACCGCGCCAAATTCAAAAAGCTTAAGGCCGATCTCGCGCTGGCGACGATCGAGAAGCAAGTCGTGACAGATGAGCTGGCACCCAGGTCGCATTAGGCTTAGGTTGGGCAGAGTCAGTACACTGAGGCCACGGCCTGGCCACGCCCGCCAGCTTCAGAGCCTGCCTGTGGACCGTGGGCAGCATGTCCGTCTGCAAGACATCGCGGGCCCCAACGGCCCAAGCCTTGGTGACCTCGGCCGCGTGCACCTTAAACGGACCCCTGAACGGCGCCCGCGCCGTGGTGCGGACCCTGAATGCGAGGCCAGTGCCAGCCTGCCCTCTGAGCGGAAGGCGTGCACCCCGAGGCCTTCAGCTTTCCGTCCGCGATCCCCGCGACGGCCGAGCCCCGCGCCGCCGTGGCGCAGGGCAGCCCTCGATGCAGGAGGCGCGTCCTTGCCCCCGCCGGCTGCAGCAGCTAGAGCTTGGCCGCTGCCCTTCTGGCCTTCGCCGGCCTCTTGCCCTGTTCTGGTACACGACGCCTGCTGCCGTCGTTGCCGTCGCCGCCGAGCCACCGCATACCAGCATGCCTTTCCATGCCCAGCTCGGCCCACTGCTCGCCCCGCGTCTGGGCCACACCAGCGTCAGTGGCCGTCCAGCCCGTCTAGCCCCAATTGATCTTGAGGCGTCGCCTCTGAAGCCCCGCGAATCCGGAGGGAGGAGCGGGTGGATGATTTACGGAAATCCGCCGACCCTGTCGGAGTGTGGACGAGGCTGTTCCGTTTGACTCGTCGTCGTCGTCGTCGTCGTCGTCGTCGTCGTCGTCGTCGTCGTCGTTGTCGTCATCGAGCGCGCCAGCCAAAGCGAAATTGAGCAACGTTGTAGTGGAGTCGACCCCCAGAGGCCCCTAAAAAGCCCCCCAAGAAGCCCCAAGAGGCCCCCAAGAGAACCCCTGGAAGCCCCAAGAGGCCCCCACGAGGCTCCCAAGCGGCCCCCAAGAGGCCCCCAAACTACCTCCAGGAGGCCCCTGAGAGCTTCGTCGTTGTCGTCGTGGCTGTCGCCGCCATGCACGGTCCGCGGCACTGGCCGTAAGGCCTTCGCAATAACAACAAAAAATCGTGGCGTTTGGCCAAGAGTCAGCCAACTGGCTGGACCTGGGAGAATCTCGCATAGATCGGGTGCTCGTTTTAGGGGGGGGGGTGCAATCCACTGAGGGTGAAGAAACGTCCGCCTTTCGGCCCGCGATGCCAGTTCACGGGCCGTCTACGGCCCCTCCGGGGCACTTCCCTGCAATTCTCGATCTCCGACGCGTATATTAGCCCGATTTCCGGCCGCCCGAACAGACTTGCCGCAGCAGCGCCGGCATCATCACGAAGATCAGGACTCCGAGGCGGCCCCATCCGAGCGCCCTCTCGAGGCAGATCGGCGCTCTCACCCCGTCAGACGAAGCCAGGACGATGATGAAAACTGACGAGGATAGCGGCTCTGGAGGATGTCTCCGGCCCAGAGGCCTTCTCAGAGCGTTCCGGAACGCTCACGCTCTGAGAGAGTCCTCGAACGCTCTGGAACGGATTTGTCCTCGTCCTGGCTCCGTCCGAACCCCGGAGGAGGAGGAGGAGGAGGAGGAGGAGGAGGAGGAGGAGGAGGAGGAGGAGGAGGAGGAGGAGGAGGAGGAGGAGGGGGAGGAGAGGAGGAGGAGGAGGAGGAGGAAGGAGAGGGAGGAGGAGGAGGAGGAGGAGGAGGAGGAGGAGGAGGAGGAGGAGGAGGAGGAGGAGGAGGGGGAGGAGGAGGAGGAAGGAGGAGGAGGAGGAGGAGGAGGAGGAGGAGGAGGAGGAGGAGGAGGAGGAGGAGGAGGGAGGAGGAGGAGGGAGGAGGAGGAGGAGGAGGAGGAGGGAGGAGGAGGAGGAGGAGGAGGGAGGAGGGGGAGGGGGAGGAGGGGGGGAGGGGGATGGGGGAGGAGGAGGAGGAGAAGGAGGAGGAGGAGGAGGAGGAGGAGGAGGAGGAGGAACGCTCTGGAGCGGACTTTGTCCTCGCCCCGGCCCCGTCCGGAGCCCTCCCCGGGCCGCCCCGAGGCACGAGGTGCAGCGCCGGCGGCAGGCCCGCGCCCCGGCCCCCGGCGGGGGGAGGCATCCCGACGCGGGCGTCCGGTCGGGCGTGCCCCCCTACGGGCGGACCTCGGGGGAAGGATCCCAAATGGCCGTAGGCATGCTCAACGATATAGCGAAACAGATCGTCCCCAGACTATGTTTTCCTATTTTGAGATTTTCCTCCTATTTTGAGATTTTCCTCCAGATCGTTTCCCAGACTATGTTTCCTGGCCACCAGCGTGGGGAGGCATCCCGACGCAGGCGTCCGGTCGGGCGTGTCCCCCTACGGGCGGATTTCGGTCGAAGGATCCAAAAAATAGCCGTAGGCATGCGCAACGACATAGCAAAGCAGATTTTTTTTGGATTCGCGGGTCGAGAGCGCACCTCTGCCGGTCGAAGCTGAGCGGGCCGCGCGAAGCTTGAATTAACGAAGAGGGGGGGACAGAAGGAGAGGCCCCAACGATATAGTAAAACAGGTCGTCCCCAGACTATGTTCTCCTATTTTGAGATTTTCCTCCTGTAGCGTTTGTTCACGCCCGCGTGCTTCGAGTGCTTCGTGTGGCGTGTGGCCACACCTCTGTGCTCCGAGCGTTTCGAGTGACGTTTGGTCACTTGTATTTTTCCTGCCAACGCGTCCGCCTGGACGCAAGGCCTCTGTCTGTCTGTCTGTCTGTCTGTCTGTCTGTCTGTCTGTCTGTCAGCGGGTCAGGCCCCAATTCGCGCACGGGTGCCGCGCGAGCGGCCTCTTCGGGGCGCCGTGCCCTCGGCCCCCCTCTCCCGAGCTTTTCGTTTTTTTTGTTGTTTTTGTTTTTCCCCCCCCCCCCCCCCCTCGTGCGGCAGCGCGGGCCCGCGCGGTGCCCTCTCGAGAGGAGTGCCACCCCTGATCCTCTAAAGTAGGAGGCAAACGAACCTACCTCGCTTTTGACCACCCTCGCTTCTAAAAGATACCAAAAGATACCAGGCTACGGCCCACACCAGTCAGGTCGCTTGACCAGGAGGCGCGTGGTATGACTTGGTTTAGTCTGGAAGCGAAAGCGGGGTAGGTAATTCACGCTCTGATGAAGTCCACACTCTCTCACTCGGTGTCTCGACACTGGGCGGAAAGAGTGGAAGGGGGAGGGAGGGGGGGGCTGGCTCCAAGATCCGGATCTCTGCTTGCTGCGACTGTTTGCAATAGTGCGTCCCGGGGGAGCGCCTCCACCTGCCTGAAGCAGGCGCCGGAAACACCCAAGATCTGCTCCACGAGGGGGTGGGGAGGGGGGGGTTGCGAGGGCCCGCGCCGAAATCCCAAGAGGCGCCGAAATCCCCAAATCCCAGAGCGGCTCAAAAAGTCCCTAAGATCGCCTCAACCCGGCCCAAGAGGCCTCCAAGAGCGCCCCAGAACGATCCAAGGTAGCCCCAAGACAGACCCAAAGGCCTCTGAGATGGCCCAAGAGGCCCCCAAGACTGCTCCAAGAGCGGGCCCAGACGGGGGACCCGAATGTACATTTCGAGCTGTAGGCCCCCAAGAGGCCCCCGAGAGTCCCACAGAGACCGCCCAAAAGCTTTTAAGAGGCCCCCAAGAAGCCCCTGTGAGGCCCCAGGAGGTCGCAGAAATTACGCAAAGAGGCCCTAGAGAAACCTCCGAAAGACCCTAGGACGCCTCCCACATAGGCGTTTGGCCACGACCAAGTTTTGCCCCACAATGGCCCAAGAAGCCATCGAGAGGCCTCCTCCTCATCACCCTCATCCTTCCCTCCTCCTCCTCCTCCTTCCTCCTCTTCCTTCCTCCTCCTCCTCCTGCTGCTCCTCCTCCTCCTCCGCCTCCTCCTCCTCATCCTCATGCTCATCATCATCCTCATCCTCATCCTGATTCTCATCTTCATCCTCATCCTCATCCTCATCCTCATCAGAATCAGAATCACCATCATCGTGATCATCATCGTGATCATCATCGTGATCATCATCGTCATCATCATCATCACCATCATCGTCACCATCATCGTCATCACCATCATCGTCATCACCATCATCGCCACCATCATCGTCATCATCATCACCATCATCGTCATCATCGTCATCGCCATCGCCATCATCATCGTCAGCATCATCATCACCACCACCACCATCACCATCACCATCACCATCACCATCACCACCACCACCACCACCATCACCATCACCATCACCATCACCATCATCACCACCACCACCACCACCACCACCATCATCATCATCATCACCATCACCATCACCATCACCATCACCATCACCATCATCATCATCATCATCATCATCATCATCATCACCACCACCACCACCATCATCATCATCATCATCATCATCATCAACATCATCATCATCATCATCAGCAGCAGCCAACTCATAGCACCAGTGATGCAACATGGACTCATGGGCCATCACAAAGCGGGCCGCGGGACGGAAGACTAGCCCCGAAGAGGTCGAGAGGTCTGGGGGCCCCGTGGAACGCAACGAGTCCCCCAAAAACCTCTTCAGAAGGTCCAAACGAACCGACACGAAGCTGCTCCATGAGAGCTGCCTCAACCCCGACATGCCGAACGCCACGCCTCAGAAAAACGGCCGCCGCCCCCCGCGACTCCGCCGCTGCCGACGACCACCGCGGTCCGCAACATGGGCCGGCGGAGTGACCGAAGCGATTCAACAAGCTCTGTGAGGCTTTCGGACCGGCCTGGCCGCGCAGGCAATTCTGCCGCCCAAGCCTTTTTGGACCCCCTGGCGCCCCCATGGACACCCCCGCAGGGAGACTCCGGGCTTCCCCAAAACGGGGCGGCGGTGTCTGCCCTCTCCGGGGCGTTCCAATTCGCCAACCCTGTGAGGCCCGACTCCATATTCACTCGCCTTCGGACCTGCCCGGCCGAGGCTGGCAGATCCGGCGACGCCCGGTCCTGCTTCTCCGGCAGCCACGCCTGCTTCCACCGGAAGAAGCCTGCCGGAGGTGGGGGAGGACACAGTCGGGGCGTTGACCTGAGGAACCCTAAATCAGGAACGAGGCCCCTTTTTTCTCATAAGCTGAACTTCGATTTCCCATCGAAAGCATAAGGACAACCCGAGGCAAGCGGTGAAACACTTACGGAACGCGGAGCCCCTCCCCAACGAAAAGGGTTCCTTCTTCAGGGCCCCGACGGTAGGTGCAGCAGAGGAGCGGAGGGAGGCAGGGGGAGGGGAGCGAGGGCGGCGGCGGGGAGCCAGAGGGGCAGCGAGGAGGCACGCGGGGGGGCAGGCGAGCGGCACGAGGAGCCCGCCGCACGAGGGGAAGGCTGCGGCTGGCGGGAAGGAGCCCAGCCTTGGACGATCGGCGATTTTGAAGGGGCCCTGGGACACGCAAATAAATATACACAAATAAAGGGATTCCCCATATTTTCAGGGTTTCTGTCTTCCCCCCCACTGCCCATATTTTCATATATTGGCTGGGGAATCGACGATCAATTGTGACTGTGTGTTTTTGCTCCTCCTGAGATTTCTTGCTCGCCGTATCGTTCCGTGTTGGCCGATGTTTTGGACCACCGGCGGCATTCCATCTCGAGCGCCCGCGGCGGGGTCGCCCCGCCGCGTCGGCACGGCACGAACCGAAACCGTCAGGGCTCGATCGAAACAGTGTTTTTTTCGTTTTCGCTTTGCTTTCTTCGCTTGTCGCTTTACTTTTTCGTTCGTTGTCGCTTTATTTTTTCGTTCTCCCTCGTCCCCTGCCTAGAGGGCAGTTTTTTTTAATTCATGGGATGTTAAAAATATAGAATTTGTAATACATGGCTAATGCACGAATGAAATTATGCACGAACTCCTCGCTGATTTCAACGCTAAATCCCTGCATGTCTAATACATGATCCGCACGCGGAACATGTATTAACAACGGCACTGTACCGTCTGCTGGCAGGAGCGCGCCTCGGCGAAAAGTCGGTCGGCCCACGCACGGAGAGCGCACGGAGCCCACGCTGCAGACGGCACCCGCGCCGAGCTCGAGGCCTGGCCTGGGCACCGCCGGCGGAACAGGAGCGGGCAGGGCCCGCCCGCCCGCTCGCCAGGGCGCGGCGCACGGCCAGCCCCCTCGACTTCCCAAACGTCTGGCGCCTCGACTTCTTCGAGGCGCGGGCCCCCGACCTGTCGACCACCCTCCCGGGGTAACTCTAGGGGGAAAACAGACCTACCTCGCTTTTGACCACCCTCGCTTCTAAGAGATACCAAGCGATGCCAAACTACGGCCTGTACTGGTCAGGCCGCTTGACGAGGAGGCGCGTGGTATGACTTGGTTTTGCTTGGAAGCGAAAGCGGGGTAGGCAATTCACGCTCTGAAACTCGACCCCACAATCCGACTTGGCTCCGAAAAAAAGGAACGACGAGGCACGGGGCACAGGCTCGCGGACACGCCACAGGATGCGCAGGGGGCGCAAAAGGGAATGCGCCAGGGGGCGCGTCAGGGGACGTATCCGGGGACGTGCCCTGGACGTGTCAGGGACCTGCCACGGGACGCGCCAAGGCGCGTGCCGCGGGGCGGCCAGAGGACGTCATGCCAAGAGGCGTTGCAAGGGGCGCGCTCAGGGGAAGCTGGAAGGTGGAAGCCGAGAGGAGAGCGGGGCAGGCAGGGCTGGGCCTAAACGGCCTAAACGTTGTCTTTCGTGTTGTGTTCAATTTGAGTTTCGTTTTGCGCTGCCTCTTCTCCTGTACCTCCCTCCCGAAGCGAAGACCAAGACACAGCCGAAATCCAGCAGCGCAGCGTTGAGGTCCAGCCCTGAAAGTCAGAGGAGCGTGGGGCAGGCGCTCGGCGGTGGGTCCCGTCGAACAGCGTCTGGCAGGGCTGGACCTACACGTTGTCTTTCGTGTTGTGTTCGTTTTGAGTTTCGTTTTGCGTTGCCTCTTCTCCTGTACCTCCCCCCCGAAGCGAAGACCAAGACTCAGCCGAAAGCCAGCAACGCAGCGTTGAGGTCCAGCCCTGAAAATCGGAGGAGAGCGGGGCAGGCGCTCGGCGGTGGGTCCCATCGAACAGCCTCTTGCAGGGCTGGACCTACACGTTGTCTTTCTTTTCGTGTTCGTTTTGTGTTTCGTTTTGCGCTGCCTCTTCTCCTGCGCCCCCCTCCCAAAGCGAAAACCAATACACGGTCGACGTTCAGCAGCGCAGCGTTGAGGTCCAGCCCTGAAAGTCAGAGGAGAGCGAAGCAGGCGCTCGGCGGCGAGCCCCATCGAACAGCCTCTTGCGGGGCTGGACCTAAACGTTGTCTTTCTTTTTGCGTTCGTTGTGCGTTTCGCTCTGCGCTGCCTCTTCTCCTTGTGCCCCCCTGCCAAAGCGAAAACCAATACACGGTCGACGTTCAGCAGCGCAGCGTTGAGGTCCAGCCCTGAAAGTCAGAGGAGAGCGAAGCAGGCGCTCGTCGGCGAGCCCCATCGAACAGCCTCTTGCGGGGCTGGACCTAAACATTGTCTTTCTTTTTGCGTTCGTTGTGCGTTTCGCTCTGCGCTGCCTCTTCTCCTTGTACCCCCCCCCCGAAGCGAAGACCAATACGCGGTCGACGTTCAGCAGCGCAGCGTTGAGGTCCAGCCCTGAAAGTCAGAGGAGAGCGAAGCAGGCGCTCGGCGGCGAGCCCCATCGAACAGCCTCTTGCGGGGCTGGACCTGTCTTTCTTTTTGCGTTCGTTGTGCGTTTCGCTCTGCGCTGCCTCTTCTCCTTGTACCCCCCTCCCGAAGCGAAGACCAAGACACGGTCGACGTGCGCAGCGTTGAGGTCCAGTTGAAAGTTTCGACGCGGGGCTTCGCTGTGCGTTCGCGTTTCGCTCTGCGCTGCCTCTTCTCCTTGCACCCCCCTCCCGAAGCGAAGGCCAAGACGCGGTCGACGTTCAGCAGCGCAGCGTTGAGGTCCAGCCCTGAAAGTCAGAGGAGAGCGAAGCAGGCGCTCGGCGGCGAGCCCCATCGAACAGCCTCTTGCGGGGCTGGACCTAAACGTCGTCTTTCTTTTTGCGTTCGTTGTGCGTTTCGCTCTGCGCTGCCTCTTCTCCTTGCACCCCCCTCCCGAAGCGAAGGCCAAGACGCGGTCGACGTTCAGCAGCGCAGCGTTGAGGTCCAGCCCTGAAAGTCAGAGGAGAGCGAAGCAGGCGCTCGGCGGCGAGCCCCATCGAACAGCCTCTTGCGGGGCTGGACCTAAACGTCGGTCTTTCTTTTTGCGTTTGTTGTGCGTTTCGCTCTGCGCTGCCTCTTCTCCTTGCACCCCCCTCCCGAAGCGAAGACCAAGACTCGGTCGACGTTCAGCAGCGCAGCGTTGAGGTCCAGCCCTGAAAGTCAGAGGAGAGCGAAGCAGGCGCTCGGCGGCGAGCCCCATCGAACAGCCTCTTGCGGGGCTGGACCTAAACGTCGTCTTTCTTTTTGCGTTCGTTGTGCGTTTCGCTCTGCGCTGCCTCTTCTCCTTGTACCCCCCTCCCGAAGCGAAGACCAAGACACGGTCGACGTTCAGCAGCGCAGCGTTGAGGTCCAGCCCTGAAAGTCAGAGGAGAGCGAAGCAGGCGCTCGGCGGCGAGCCCCATCCGAACAGCCTCTTGCGGGGCTGGACCTAAACGCTGTCTTTCTTTTTGCGTTCGTTGTGCGTTTCGCTCTGCGCTGCCTCTTCTCCTTGCACCCCCCTCCCGAAGCGAAGACCAAGACACGGTCGACGTTCAGCAGCGCAGCGTTGAGGTCCAGCCCTGAAAGTCAGAGGAGAGCGAAGCAGGCGCTCGGCGGCGAGCCCCATCGAACAGCCTCTTGCGGGGCTGGACCTTAACCGCTGTCTTTCTTTTTGCGTTTCGTTGTGGCGTTTCGGCTCTGCTCTGCCTCTCTCCTTGCAACCCCCTCCCGAGCGAAGACCAGACGCGGTCCGACGACGCAGGCAGCGCAGCGGGGTGAGGGTCCAGCCCTGAAAGTCAGGGACATCTTATTATCTGTATTCCTCAAGCATATCGGACCAGCCTCTTGCGGGCTGGAAATCAGCTCGTCTTTCTTTTTGCGTTCGTTGTGCGTTTCGCTCTGCGCCGCCTCTTCTCCTTGCACCCCCCTCCCGAAGCGAAGACCAAGACGCGGTCGACGTTCAGCAGCGCAGCGTTGAGGTCCAGCCCTGAAAGTCAGAGGAGAGCGAAGCAGGCGCTCGGCGGCGAGCCCCATCGAACAGCCTCTTGCGGGGCTGGACCTAAACGTCGTCTTTCTTTTTGCGTTCGTTGTGCGTTTCGCTCTGCGCTGCCTCTTCTCCTTGTACCCCCCTCCCGAAGCGAAGACCAAGACACGGTCGACGTTCGCCACGTTCCGCAGCCGCAAGCGTTTGAGGTCCACCCTGAAAGTTCCAGAGGAGAGCGAAGCAGGCGCTCGGCGGCGAGCCCCATCGAACAGCCTCTTGCGGGGCTGGACCTAAACGTCGTCTTTCTTTTTGCGTTCGTTGTGCGTTTCGCTCTGCGCCGCCTCTTCTCCTTGTACCCCCCTCCCGAAGCGAAGACCAAGACGCGGTCGACGTTCAGCAGCGCAGCGTTGAGGTCCAGCCCTGAAAGTCAGAGGAGAGCGAAGCAGGCGCTCGGCGGCGAGCCCCATCGAACAGCCTTCGTCGGGCTGGACCTAAACGCTTCTTTGCTGGAGACGGTCGACGTTCAGCAGCGCAGCGTTGAGGTCCAGTCCTGAAAGTCAGAGGAGAGCGAAGCAGGCGCTCGGCGGCGAGCCCCATCGAACAGCCTCTTGCGGGGCTGGACCTAAACGCTGTCTTTCTTTTTGCGTTCGTTGTGCGTTTCGCTCTGCGCTGCCTCTTCTCCTTGCACCCCCCTCCCGAAGCGAAGACCAAGACACGGTCGACGTTCAGCAGCGCAGCGTTGAGGTCCAGCCCTGAAAGTCAGAGGAGAGCGAAGCAGGCGCTCGGCGGCGAGCCCCATCGAACAGCCTCTTGCGGGGCACCTAAACGTCGTCTTTCTTTTTGCGTTCGTTGTGCGTTTCGCTCTGCGCTGCCTCTTCTCCTTGTACCCCCCTCCCGAAGCGAAGACCAAGACACGGTCGACGTTCAGCAGCGCAGCGTTGAGGTCCAGCCCTGAAAGTCAGAGGAGAGCGAAGCAGGCGCTCGGCGGCGAGCCCCATCGAACAGCCTCTTGCGGGGCTGGACCTAAACGTCGTCTTTCTTTTTGCGTTCGTTGTGCGTTTCGCTCTGCGCCGCCTCTTCTCCTTGTACCCCCCTCCCGAAGCGAAGACCAAGACACGGTCGACGTTCAGCAGCGCAGCGTTGAGGTCCAGCCCTGAAAGTCAGAGGAGAGCGAAGCAGGCGCTCGGCGGCGAGCCCCATCGAACAGCCTCTTGCGGGGCTGGACCTAAACGTCGTCTTTCTTTTTGCGTTCGTTGTGCGTTTCGCTCTGCGCCGCCTCTTCTCCTCGTACCCCCCTCCCGAAGCGAAGACCAAGGCGCAGCCGCAGTCCAGCAACACGGCGCCGAGGTCCAGCCCTGAGCGTCAGAGGAGCGTGGGGCAGGCGCTCGGCGGGCGGGTGCCATCGAGCAGCCAGCCTCTTGCAGGGCTGCGAGGTCACAGTGCGGGTGCAGGGCCCCGCGGTCTGCTCGGGCGGGCCAGCCTGCTCGCCCCCGCGGGGCCCGTCGTGTGGGTCGGGCGTGTCCCCCTGCAGGAGGAATAGTCGAAGCATGCTCAGGGGGCGATTTTGTTTGACCGTCTTCGGCCATTTGGGAGTAACCCCAGACTTCCTGATTTTTCGTCCACGATCCCCCTGTAGGAGGACACGCCCGACCTGGCCCGTCGTGGGGTCCCGTCTCGGGAAGTCGGGGGGGGGGCGGAGGTCCAGCAGCGAGGCCCGGGGGGCGGACGCCACGGAACACACAGAAGGGGGCGCGGGTCTGCTGGCCGCTGCACTCTCGGTGAGGAGGAGAGGGGGCCGGAAGAGAGAAAGAGAGAGAGAGAGAGAGAGAGAGAGCGGGGGATCACTTTCGGAATAGACGAGGCTCTTGCCGTCGCTCGGACGTCCATTTCCCGTGGATTTGTCGGTTTCGTTTTTTTTTGCTCGATGGTCCAGGATGGTCCTCGATGGTTCTCGCCGAGAAGACATGCACACGTCGTCCGAGCGGTGCCAAGGGCTGGGACGGGGCTGGGGCTGGGAGGGAGGGAGGGTGCGGGGGGGGAAGGGGAGCCGCGGCGCGCGCCGCGCGCGGGAGGGGGTGGGCAGGGAGAAAGGGGGGGTGAGGAGGGGTGGGTGGGAGGGAGAGAGGGGGGGGGAAGAGGAGGGGGCTGGGAGAGAGAGAGGGGGGGGAAGGGGACGGATTTCGGAGTAGAGGAGCACGGAGGAGGAGCAGACTGCGAACATGTTGCGTTGCCCTGAGGGCCGAGCGTGACGACAGAGCGTGAGGCGGGCACTCTACTGTTTGCAAGTCTGCCATCGAAGCGGCCACACGAATTTTCAAGGGAGGACAGGCACAAGCTACTGGGAAGACGGGGAGCAGAAAGGGGAGCAGGAAGAGAAGGAATTGGGAGGGAGAGGATACGATGCACTTGGACACACCGATGCGCTAGATGCAAGCCTGCCTGATGTCCTGGTAATGGTTTCTTCTTTTGCTGGGACGCCCTCGCATGCACTGCCGAGCAGTACGGACCCGTGAACGCATGCTTCGTGCGGCCGAGGCAGTACCACGCCGCCTGGAAGCGAGAGCACACGCTCCCCCCGTGAGGAGGGCGGAGGAAGATGAGGAGGCTCAACAGGCACGGACCGCACAAACCACACCGAGACGCGCTGCTTGGCGCCAGCCTCCAGACGCTGTCCGGGGGGGAGAGCCCTCCCAAACCCTTCTCCTCCTCATTCTTACTCCTCCTCCTCCACCTCCTCCTCCTACCCTCCTCTTCTCTAAACTGAACCTTCGACAACTCGACTGTCCGAACCCCTTCTCCTGACACAACGGTTCATCCCGAGTCGGCTTCTCAAGGCCTCTGGGGCCGAGAAAAGACCTCCCGAGGCCCAAGATTGCGTAACAGACTCTGGGCCCCTGACGGGCAGCGCCAGGGGGGAAGCAGCAGGCTGGACTCGCCAGTGCGCCGCGGTTGGATCGGCGACAGGCCACCAATGGCGAATCCGCCCCCTTCTGGGGAGGCGGCGAATGGGTGTCTATGCACCCCCCTGATCCTATCCTCAGGTCGGGCATGTGCTCCTACAGGCGAATTATGAGGGAGGAAAAGAGAAACGAGTCAACAAGTGCTCAAAAAGAGTCCAACGCAGTCGAAACATCGTCCCCAGACTATGTTTTGACTGTTTGTGAGTCTCCCCCCTGAGGAGGGACCTGCCCGACTTGATCCCATCTCCATCCCTGGAATGCTGCCCCTGACCTCCCTCGTGTGCCGATTTCGGGCCCAGGGGGCGGCCGTCGCGGCAGTCGAAGCGCTCCACCGCCTTGTGCCCCTCGCAGCCGAGGTCGGCGTGGGTGCAGCACCACCTCCGGGGGAGGGCGGCTCGGGGAGAGTCGGGGGGTCCTAAGCAAAATCGAGAGGGCCGTGCGAGAGGAGGGCTCGCAGATCGTGCGCTCCTCTTCGGAAGTCTGCGCTCCCCTTCGGGCGCGTCCAAGAGGGGGCCGCCGTGCCAGAGGAGAGCCCGCAGATTGTGGCCCGAGGCACGTGCGCAGCACGGGGAGGGGGGGGGGGGGGGGCAAAGGGCTGGCTGCATTAGCATCGGAAGGGGGGGGCACGAAACCCGGGGAGATATCATGGCCCTGGCCATGAGATTTACACCCCCATCAATCTTAGGGGTCCCAAAGCCGTGCGGTGACAGACCCGGCGGGGACCTCGATTTCCGACGCAAAGGCCTCACCGCAAGGTCCGCCACCACACGGTTTTGGGACTTCGGAGACCCCACTCGCCCGAGACGTCCTCAAAGAACGACACACGTCCCCAAACCGTGCGGTGACTCCGAATCCCCACCGACTCACCGCACGGTGTGGTTGGTCACCGCACCGTTTGGGAGCCCCCGATAGTCATCACCCCCCTCTTGGCCGCCCCCGGAAGAGCGGTCCGACGCCGAGCGGGTCGCGCCGCCCTGGGAACCAGAGGCGGCGGCCGCAAGGGGGACAAGCATCAGCAAGGGAGGACGGGCATCATTCAATCAATGAATCACAGTAGGGGCCAGTCCATAAGACCCTTTCCACAAGAAACCCAACCCTGAGACCCCAGGACGTCCATGGAATCTTGTTGTGGGACCGTCGCGCCTTCCATGGCAAAACCATCTAAACCCAGGAAACCCAGGGCACCCTGGAGACAAGCAGGGTGTTTCTTGGCATGGGCCTCCACTGTATCAATCAAGCAATCATGCCTCATGGTCCGAGTTGTCTCTACCTGAGGGGAGGCTGGGTAGACAAGACAAGACAAAACAAGGCAAGACAAAGACAAACCAAGACATCGCAATTGAGCTCCGAGCCGATCGCATCGAGGACTCGATGAGCTCTGCGAGAAGCAGGAGGAGGAGGAACGAGGGGTGGACGAGCCCCCGCACCCTTGACGCTGAGAGCGAATCTGGACAACTGGCCTCGGCTTCAACACCCTCATTGCCAATTGGACGGGTGCCGATCCTCTGTGGTCCCATGCCGCTATGTGGTGGGAGCGGCTTGTCGGAGACCTTCTGACCTAGGTCGATCCAGCCCGGGGCCAGCCAGGCCTTGCAGAATCCTGCAAGATCCTGCACCCAAACCCGGGTCAACGCGAAGAATCCTGACAGATCCTGCAGGATCCTGCACCCAAACCTGGGTCAACGCGACCCTGGCCCTGCAGGATCCTGCAAGATCGGGCGCCCTGGCTGACCCCCGTTGGCATGGACCCCCGTCTCGAGGCTCCCGAGTTGGGGGGGGGCGGTCGGACCTGTGACCCCAATGCCTCCACCGGGATAGTTGTTGATCTCAGGGCTGACCTCAACGGCGTTCTTTGCTTTCGTTTTCTTCTCGTTCTCCGTCGCCTTGTCTTCGATCCGCCTTTCCCGCAGAACGAGAGTCGAAACGAAGACGGCCCACGAAGTCGCCCAAACACCGTTCAGGTCCAGCCCTGGTTGATCTCGGTGCGTCGCCCCTGGTCGGGGATCTTCTGACCTGGGTCAATCCAAACCCGGGTCAGCAGGAAACCAAAAACTGCAACGCAGGAAAAAAACGGTAGCGCAGGTCTCCGCAAACCCGGGTCAGCCAATGGGCGCGGCCGCCTCGCGGCCACGAGCGGCTCCCTGACCCGGGTCAGCCAGAGGGGGTCTTCGCAGGATCCTGCAGGATCCGGTGCCCTGGCTGACCCGGCGCTGGATTGGAGGAGGGGGAGAGGAGGAGGAGGAGGAGGAGGAGGAGGAGGAGGGAGGAGGAGGAGGAGGAGGAGGAGGAGGAGGAGGAGGAGGAGGAGGAGGAGGAGGAGGAGGGGAGGAGGAGGAGGAGGAGGAGGAGGAGGAGGAGGAAGAGGTGCCCTGGCTGACCCCCGCTGCACCTGACCCCCGGCTCGAGGCTCCCGACCTGGACCGCGCGAGCCCCGACCGGGGGGGGGGGCCGTGCTCGTTTCTGCCCAGGGCCATCCTTCGAGGGGCCAGCCTCGAAGAGCCCGCACCCAGCCCGGGCAGCGCTGGAGGCGCCACCCTCCCTTGGGAGGAGGGGGACAGAGCGCCCCTCCCTCCCTCCCCCTCCCTCCCCCCCTCCCCCCCCTCCCTCCCCCTCCCCCCTCCCCCTCCCCCCTCCCACCCCTCCCCCTACCTCCCCCCCCTCCCCCCTCCCCCCTCCCCTCCCCTCCCCTCCCCCTCCCCCTCCCCCTTCCCCCTCCCCCTCCCCCTCCCCCCTCCCCTCCCCCTTCCCCCCCCCTCCCTCCTCCTCCTCCTCCTCCTTCCTCCTCCTCCTCCTCCTCCTCCTCGTTCCTCCTCCTCCCGTTCCTCCTCCCTCACAGATCCCTGGAGCACGCTGCCGAGGCGAAGCGACGCTGTCCAAAAAAAAAACCCTTCGGGCATGGAGCCTCGAGCCTCGGGAGGAGATGGCGATGCGACCCAGGTGGGGGCCTTCCTCGGCACTGCCTGAAGAACGGCTACTGGTCCGGACATGCTGTCAGACTGCATCGTATAGAATCGGAACCGAATCGGATCGGCTGCGCCTCCACTGCATCAATCAATCGATCATGCCTCATGGTCCGAGTTGTCTCTACCTGAGGGGAGGCCGGGTAGACAAGACAAGACACAACGAGGCAAGACAAAGACAAGCCAGGACATCGCAATTGAGCCAGTGATTCGCGAAGAGCTCGCGCGCCAAGAATCGGACTGCATCGTGCATAATCGGAGCCGAATCGGATCGGCTGCGCCAAGATGCACAACAACGCCATGCAGACATCGGGCCACATCGGATCGTTGGAATATTGAAATCACATCGGATCGAGCCGGCCGGAACCGATGCAGAGTCGGCATAATCGTACACGCCAGTCGGAAGAAGTAGATAGAAACATGAAGTAGGAAGGCGGATATAGTAGATTGGGCCCAGGTCCTCCCAGATAATAACAAAACAAAACACAGCAGAAGCATGCCGATTCTTGAAGTAGGAAGGCGCTTGAAGTAGATTGGGATCAGGGAATCCAATGGACCCTGCCATCGGTTCAGAATGGACCCTGGCACCGGCTGTCGGGTCATAACTCGGGCCTCTGGCGGCCGTCAGGGACGATCCGGGGGGCACCGCCAGGAGGCTCTCGACGATGCGCAGCTGCTGGAACGCATCCCGAGGCTGCAGACCACCAAGAGCAGACGAAACCGCCAAAGAACCTGGAACCTAGAACATCCCGAACCTAAACTAAAACAAATCGGATCGGAGGTCCACGCGGTACTCTCGGATCGGCGCTGGACCTCGTCGCAAATCCAGGGGATCCGCGCGGGCCTCTGGAATCGTGTATATACCTTTCTGCCCTCTTCGGTTGTCGGAGGTCTGCGATACCCTTCGTGCGCGTGGGAGAGGAGGGCGTCCGAGAGGTGTGGTCGAAGATCCTGGCCCGAGGCTCGTGCGCGCCACAGGACGGTGGGGTCATCCTCCTCTTCCTTCTTCTCCTCGTCCTCCTCCTCCTCCTCCTCCTCCTACTCCTCCTCCTTTCCTCCTCCTTCTCCTCCTCCTCCTCCTCCTCCTGTGGAGGAGGAGCTGGAACAGTTCAGCATGCAGACATCGCGCTGGGCGGCGCGAGCAGCAGAGCGCGCCCAGGTCAAAGCAGGGCGGCAGTACGCTCAGTGGGTCAGCACCTCCTGGCGCTCCTCCCCAGGCCTGGTGCACAGGCATGTGAAAGGAGAGGGGCCCGCGCAGCTGGAGACCCTGCAGCTGGAAGAGGCGGTGGCGGACCCCATGAAGCAGATGCAGATTCGGGAGGACCACTGGACGGCCGTCTGGAGGTCGCGCAGCTTCGATGAGACGAAGTTGCAACGCTGGCTGGCGCGCACTGCCCGTCGCGCCCAGGAGGAGGAGCTCCCGCCTCTTACCCTTCCACAGGTGAAACAGACCCTTGCCAGCCTCTCCCCGAAGAAGGCGATGGGGGCCGACGCGTTGCGGAGCTCCGACGTTGCCAGGCTTCCCGACGAGTCGGTGCAGCAGTGGGTGCACCTGCTGCAGGAGGTGGAGGCGGCGGTGCTGTGGCCGCGCCGGTCCTCACCACCATCCTGTCGTTGCTCCCCAAGGGTCGAGGCGGCGACCGCACCATCGGCCTGTTGTTGCCGCTGCTGGTGAAGTGCTGGTCGCGCACTCGCGCGACCGTCACCGACGAGTGGTCGGAGGCGTTGGAGCAGCACTGGGACACGGCCATCAGGGGCAGCAATGCCTTGAGGGCCGCCCTCTGCCGGTCGGTCCTCGACGAGAGGACGGTAACCATGAGCTTCTGCGCGATCGAGGCGCTGGTGGACCTGGAGAAGTTCTTCGACAGCATCGACCTGATCGCGCTGCTGGAGGTGGCGGAGCAGGAGGCTTACCCAGCCGTCGTCATCTCGTTGGAGGCACAGGCCTACTTGGCGCCCGGGCGGCTGCGACGTCATGGCTGGAGCTCCGGAGCTATTTCGGCTGAGAGGTCGATCGTCGCGGGTAGCAACCACGGCGTGAAGGTCGGCAAGCTGTTCCTGTACCCGCTGCTGCAGCGCGTCAGTGCAGGGTCCCCGGCAGTGGGCTTGCAAACGTTCGTGGATGACACGATTCTGAGGACGGATGGCCTGAAGCGGGCCGCGGTGGACCAGATGGTAGTGGCCCTGAAGCGCTTTGGAGAGTGTTGCCAGGCCGCCAAGCTCACCAGCTCTGACAAGTCCGTCATCGTGGCCTCAGACATGGACGCGGCCCAGCAGGTAGTGGGCGGCGCAGGCGGGCCCAGCCTCCCGCTCAAGGCAGTAGAGAAGGCCGTGGACCTGGGCGTCAGCACCACGGCGGGCAAGCGTCGGGACCAGAGCCAGTTCCACAAGCGCGCCAAGACGGTGGCCAGGCGGATGTGCGGCATCCACCGCATGCGGCGTAAGGTGCGGCTCGGGGAGTACACCAAGATGCTCCACAAGAGGGGGCACAACCGGCACTGATCTATGGCAACCAAGTCCTCGGAGTGGCGCCGACGGTCTTGCTGCGGCTCAGGCGCCAGGCCAGCCGTGCGATTGCAGGCAAGGGCTTCGGCAGATGCCTGACCACCACGCTGGCGCTGACCCTGGATGAGGACGACCCGGGGCTGGCCCTGCCGCGCCAGCTGCTTGGCGAGTGGATGCAGCTCTGGAGGCGCCATCCTGAGCATCGGCAGCGAGTGCAGCGAGCGTGGCGCCTGCTGTACCAGAAGCTGAAGGCGCTGCCGCAGGCCAGGCGATGGGCCAGAGTGCGTGGTGCTATCTCGGTGGTGATTTGCACATTGCTCACTGCTGGCTGGGACGTGCCCTCGGCTACCACCTGGCACTCCGACGTCGAGGAGACTTGGCAAATTAGTGAGGACATGGAAGCTGACGACACCGAGCTCCTGGACGAGTTCACGGCCAGCATTAAGAGGGCCTGGTGGGCCAAGGCGGCTCGTCATGATGCTGGAGAAGGGCTCGTAGACGGCGCTGACCTGCACCAAGCGAGGAGGCACCTGGCGAGGCTCCAGCGCGACGGCGAGCACGGCACCTGGGCCTTGCAGCTGCAGGTGATGACTGGAGCATCCTGGACGAGGGTGCGTCAGAAGGAGGCTGACTTCGACGTGTCGGCTACGTGCCCCCTGTGCGGGCTGGCCGACGAGACCCTGCTGCATCGAGTGTGGCAGTGTCCGTGCAATGTGGGCCATGAGGACTACACGAGCATGGAGTCGCTGGCGGCCAGAGCCGTGGAGGGCGCTGCTGCGGAGCCCTGCCTCTGGTTGCGGGGCCTCCCGCCTACCGGCTGGACGCGGTACGAGTACCCAGAGGGCGCCAGCGAGTTTGAGCACGTGGCGGGCGACTGGGACACGGCCGCCGAGCAGTACGGAGGAGAGGATGGCTTCCTCGACGTCTTCGGCGATGGCTCGGGCGGGGAGCACAGCGACGACCCTCGTCTGCGACAGTGCGGAGTGGGCGCGGTCATCCTGCAGGTCTCGCTGCAGGCGCCAGGCGAGCTGCGCGTGGCAGCTGGCGTTGCAGCAGGGCTCCTTGGGCCGAAGCAGACGGTGCCGAGGTCGGAGCTGCAGGCGTTCCTCATCGCGCTGCGCCGCACGCGAGGCTGCCTGCGGTACCACACCGACCACATGCCGCTGGTGCACGGCTGGCGGCAGCGGCGCCACGTGAGCCCGAGCGGGAAAAATGCAGACCTGTGGTGGCAGATTAGGCGTGCCATTCGAGATCGTGGCGACAGCGACATAGAGATACGATTTCTGCACAGCCACCAGGAAAAGCATCTGATAGGTAACGAGTCGGCCCAGCAACTTTTCGTGATTGCAGGTAATATGTTTGCAGATGAGTTTGAGCAGAGCGCTGCCGCCACCGTCCTTGCCAGCGTGACAGTCAAGCCAGAGGTTTCCCTTGTAGATGCCGTTGCACATATGGTGCGTAAGAGGGCCGTGCGAGCGCATCACGATTGCATGGAAGCCGATCCGTTGAATTCGGGGGTTGAGCCAAAGCCCAAGCGATGTGTTAGCAAGCAGGCGAGGCTCCTGGAGGCCTCCCCCCACACTCTCGAGAAAGTCGGGGCTGGCTGGAGCTGTAGGGTTTGTGAGCAGACCGTGCAGCACGAAGCCCTACCAGAGTTTGCCTGCACACCGTGTGCTCCGAAGCAGCATGCGGCGGTGGGCGCGGTAGGCCTTCGGATGAGGGGCGGCTTGGAGCCGGTGAGGGTGGGGGGGAAGGACTTGCATCCGTCACATGCTTTGAGGTATGTTGACAGCATGGAATTGTATGCGTGCACGTCTTGTGGTTGCTATGCTAGTCTGATGGCTGCTTCACTGGCCGAGGAGTGTCGCCCCAGGACTGCTAAAGGCAACCAGAATTTGAACCGATTGGCTTTGGGTAAGTGGCCCCACCCCAAAGGTATGCCCAAGGCTGTGCGTCAGACACTAGCTTGGAGGGAAGGGTGTCGAGCCCGAGCTCGTGCTGCTGCTGCTGCCGCCGCCGCTGCTAGCAGGCCTGAGGGGGTCAGCGTCAGCGAGAGCGAGAGCCATCGAGCTGGTGGCAGCCAGCAGCATATGCAGGGGTGCGGGTAGCGTGATCGAGCAGAGCACGACTGGTGCTTCTCAGGGTATTCCCAGGGTATTTCTCCTCCTCCTCCTCCTCCTCCTCCTCCTCCTCCTCCTCCTCCCCCATCCTCCTTTCGGGGGGGGAGGGGGGCAAGGGAAATGTCGAAGTGAGAAAGAGGGGGCCATGAGATCCAGGGAGATCCGCACCCCCCCGTAGATGCTCGTCTGGGGGCCTTCCTGCAACCACTCATGCGTCGAGGCTGCGTCCAACACCCGTCGACGCGAGTCGCACTCGAGTCGAACCCGAGTCGCACCCGAGGAGAGCTTGAGTCGAACCCAGAAGCGAACAGATCCGCGGAGTGGACCCCGGGAACGTCCCCCAGACGAGCCTCCATGCGCCCCCACCCCATCGGTCGCTCCCCTGTTGGCGGCGACGAGCAAGAAATCCTCGCGTCTAAGACAGGAAGTATCCCGGGAACTAACCAGTCTGAGTGGGGAGAACTCCATTCCCGGGCCGGGCAAAAAGGGGGGGGATAGAAAGGGGGGGGGGAATCATCTCACGTAGCTGATTTTCCCGGCGCCTCCCGGCGCTGGAGGCGGCTATGTATCGAGGAATGGGCCCCTCGGTGGGGCCGAAACCAGCTGCATGCAACAGAGTTCGTACCCCCCCCTTCCCAATACCTCCCTTGCGTCCAGCCCGACATTCCACCGGTGTATATACCATTACGCCGGTGTTTACACTTCGACCCCTCCTGGCCGCCCCCGACTCCGCCGATCATGCGGCGAGGGCCGGGCGGCGCCTCTGCATGGCTTCCGGCCACACTTCGTGCTCCGCCAGCCCGCCCGCGCAGTCCGCCAGCCCCCAGAGGGGGGGGGGCGGAGGGCTGGGGAAAGAAGGGGGGCTGAAGTTAGGTCGGGCATGTCCTCCTACGGGCGGATTTTGGACGAAAAATAAGAAGTATCCAGACAGCATGCACGCAAAATCAGATATAGTCAAACCATCGTGCCTGCATGGACTATTTGCATACTCTTCCTGTAGAGGGACACGCCCGACGTAACCTTGAAAACGACGTGAGACCAAGCGCAGCCAGATTGGGGGGGGAGGCGGCTTTCCTGATCGCCCAGTCACGAGTCGGCCCTCGGGGCCCTCTGTATATTCACTGAAAAGGAAAAGACGGGAAAAGGAGAAGGAGAAAGGAGGGAAAGGAGGAGGAAGAGGAAAAGGATGGGGAGGAGTGGGGAGGGGGGGAAAGGAGGCGGGCGAGGAGGAAAAAGGAGGAACAAGGAGGGGAAACAAAAAAGGAGGAGGAGGAAGAGGAGGGGGAGGGCTGGGGAGGGAGGGAAAGGAGGAGGAGGAGGAGGAGGAGGAGGAGGAGGAGGAGGAGGAGGAAAGGAGGAGGAAAGGAGGAGGAAAGGAGGAGGAGCAACGAGGAGAAATCATGAAAGGAGGAGGCGGGGGAGGAGGAAGACGAGGAGGAGGAGGAGGAAAAGGAGGAACAAGAGCAGGAGGAAGAGGAGGGGGAAAAGGGAGGAAGGAGGAGGTGTCTATAGGGCAAGGTCTCAATGACCACTTCAGGGGTCAAGGCGGGGCGGGAGGAGCAGCGGCAGGGCGGGGGGGGGCGGACGCAGGGCGGCGCCTGGTGACGGCCGGCTCGGCCGCGGAGGCGTCGAACGCCCCACGGTGGGCCGCGGCCGCGGCGCTCTCTCCCCGCTCTCTCCGCTGCCCCCTCCCTTTCCGCTCCAGGCGCTCCCTGCCTGCCAGACGCAGCTTCCAAGAAGAAGGCCCTTGCCTATGCGAGCAAGGTTCTGGCCTCCAGCCCTTTGCGTGCTCATAGCTGCATTCCGACGCCAACTCTCGAAGGTGGCTCGTGCTGTAGCAACCGCGCACAAAACAAAACAATAAATCTTTGTCAGGCCAGAAACAAAACTGGTGGGAACCGCGCGCTTCCCACGAGCGGACACACGCGGCCCCTGCGGGCCGAAAGACCGCCCCCGACCAAGACATCGGGCGGCAATGGGACCCCATAGTGGCCGTGAGCTCGCTGGATTTCGCACGACAGCCACACATACGGCACTGACCAAAATCGCCCGCGATCTACGGGCAACTTTGTTCTGAATCGAGAGCTGCAGCTCTAAGCAACTTAGCCCTCGAATGCCGACTATGGGACTATGGGTGGTTGGGAGGGCCTCTTGCCCTCCCTCTCCATCGCATCATCCATCACATCAAGGAGGTGGCTCTGAAACCTACGCGTGATCGCATCAGCCATCTTGACCGCTGCGCTCACCGGATAGCCAACCCTCACATCCTCCTCATGCGCACCAGCAGTCTGGTCGGCGATGGCGTTAGCCACAATGAAACTAGGACTGGGGTTCCTGTCAAGAGCCTCCTTGGCCTCGAGGTGGCTCGACACACGGACAAGGAGCAGTTCCCTATCGCGAAACACCTCGCGCACGCGCGACCGCAAATCACGGTGGCTCGAGACGCGGGGGCACGTGCCAGCCGCAACGCGAGAGACCCCGCGGGCGACATAGGGCGAGTTGGCCACGTAGCCCACCAGGGCTCCTTAGGGGCTCTGCTCCAAAAACTTCAGAAGGGCCCAGAGTTCCCCGCGGCCCACGCTGCGCTTGCCCGCAATGCCCCCTCCAACGCCGAAGGCAACATTGGATGCGGCAGCCGATATTGGGGGGCTCCTCTAAACTACGCCCAACAACCGCAACGCCCCAATACGCCCGCCGTAGCCTACGATCCCTCGAGAACCCCCCGCCACAGGCGCCCCCCGCCCCCCAGATGCGACGCCCCTCCTCCAATGGAAAGGCGCCAGGCGCAGCGAAGAGAAGCGTGTCGGGGGGGGGGGCGCGGTCCAAGACTTGGGCGTGGCGCCGCGGAGCCAGAAACTAGGGCGCTCGTCGGCCGCTGTGCACCCGCGGCGCGCGAAGGCCTCCGAGATCCCCTGAAACTCCGAATTGCAAGGGCACTCCCAGAATCTGTGAGCGGCAGCCTCCGCCGGAACTCCACTTCTCGGGCGCACTTCAGAGCATTCTCCTCCCGCGCTGATGATGCGCGAGCGGGTCCAAACAGCGCCTGTGAGAACCGCTCGCAACAAGCCAGCCTGCTGGACATCCTTGCTCCGCAAGCTAGCCAGATGACGGCGCGCGATCGCGAAATCAACGCCTTCCTCAGCACCGAGACCGCTCCGAAACTTGGTGGCTCCAGCCCGCAGATGGGCTTCGATCGAATTCGCCGCTTCCTGTTTGAATACGGAGGTCATATATGCCTCGGGCCGAAGCTTGTCGGGGAAAGCGCGCGCGCGCCCCGTCGGCGCCGCCCAGTCCCGAGGCCCCTGCAACGACCATCCCAGGCCCGGCATCGTGGCGACGACAGCCGACATAGGCCCCCGAATGTTGCGCCGCTGACGCTTGGGCCCTAAGTCCTAAATTCGCCGGGCAGTTTCTCGCCAACATCGGTGCATTCTGGGAAGCGCCTGGCCCGGGGCCCTGGGCGCGATTTGGAACCGGGAATCCAGAACCGAGAGCGCCGAACTGAAAGCGGAATCCTTGGGGCCAACTTCTAACGCCAGGATCGAAGTGAGACGCCTGCCGACTGTGCCCCTACCCAAGGTACTCGCTAAAGCTCGACGCCGCTGCAAGAACACTGGGAGCAACTCCGAACACTTTCCACGCGTGTGACGCCTGGGGGGCCCCCGCTAGGACAAGCTTGGGCCCCGCCTTGTGCGGGGCAGCTCGAGCCAACGTAAAGATGTGAGTCGCGCGCCGATGCGCCGAGGCAGTGCGCTTGGAGTGGCGAGGCCTGGAAATCTGCGCACCGCCACCGCGCTCAATGCGGCGTCGGCAGCAACCGACGCAACATCGACAACGACTGACACGTGGCAAAATCAGGTGCTCGCCTAGCCCCTGCAACAACGCCTCCCGTGGGCGTGAGGGGGGGGGGGGGGGCGGCGCGCGCGCAGCATCGCGAAGGGCCTGCGGTCCTATGTGCAAGAGGGCTTCTAAAGCAAGACGCACGGCGGGGATTTCAAGCTCCAGAGCGCGAGCAAAACATCACCCCAGCGAATGGTGTCGTAAAAAGCTCCGACATCTCACGCATTCGACACACAACCATGCCCAGGCAGAGCCGACGAGAGAGCAGCCTCGTCAGCATAAAGCGCTGTAAAGCGCTGTTGCCTCGCCCCGCGGCGCCCTGCGGCCCCGAGCGAGCCTCGGCCCAAACCTCCGCGGGGCGGGATCTCATGGCGCCCATCGGCGACCCAACCAGGTGAGAAGGCCGATGGCGCGATCCTTACGCACATCAGACTTTCGCAGAAACACGATGATTGCAGTGAGCCACTGCCATGGCCACGCCACAGCGCGCTCCACCTCCTGAAACAGCGACAGGAGCTGCGCGCGGCCTTCCTCAGAAAACCACCATACATCACGTTGTCGAGCTCCATCAATGCCTGCCACCTTCGGCGGAGAGATAGCCATCGGCGCAGCCTCCAAGCTGTCCAGGGTGAGAGGCTGGGTCTCTTCATGACGGGCGAACTCCGTAGCTTGCTGCAGAACGTCCATGACAGCTCTGCCAGATAAATCCGTCGGTGTCCACAACTTGTCCCAGAGCGCACGCTTGGCCTCCATGAGCGTGGCCCCATCGAAGGTGGCGCCCTCGGCGTAGCGAATCTCGTTGACCTCTGCCATAAGATCCTTCACATGACGGCACAGGACTCCCATGCCGTTGACCGCGCGCTGGCATGCCCAGTCCCGAATCCATGCAGCCTCTGCTTGGGCGCAGCTCGTTGGGCTTGCTCGGCCGCCTTGCTGGCCGCCAGCGCGATCTTTTCCAAGGGCTCTTTGGCGACGCCCTCCAACGTGCGAAGGGCTCGATCCAGCGGGCCTCTGTCTCTCTGGCAGAGGCGCAACCTGACAGACTGGAGTGGTAGCTGCTAGGGCCGACAGCCGTCCGAAGGCGTCGAGCACGTGGCGAGCCCTCCTGTCACATGAGACAACTCTGCGAAGTGGTGGGCAACGGTAGACCACCAGCGCGAACCGCAATCAGATGTAGTAGGCCAAGGCTTGCCACCGTCCATGGTCCGCTTGGCAGGGGCTCGCAGCCTTCTGCGACCCTGGTGCCGGCGACGCTCCTGAGGGCGCGCCCGGTGCAACTCGCGATCGTTCAACTCCATGGTGTGGGACCGCTCTGACAACAATTCACCAAAACGAATGGCCGCCTCAGGATCTGCGGGACATCCCGGGCCGCTCGCAACAAAATCTGGAGGTGCAGATCGCCGGGCCACGTGCTCCGAAATACTACACCACAACATATTCTTAGCCGATCCCGTCCAGCTGCCCTGAATACTCGCATCTGTAAACAGATCATCATGATCGGGGACATCGACCCGCTCCTGAAGCTCGGGGGCATCATCAGGGGGGCCGCGGTGTCCTCCTCGGCCTCGTTGTCGGTCCAGAAGTCCTCCTCCTCGCACTCCAAATGTAAATGCAGCAGAGAAGGGGGGCTCTTGATAGACAACTTGCGTTTCGAACCCCGAACTGCTGGAATTGGGGTCTTGACCGATCCCTCGGTAGTAGCCATCTGCGCCGGCAGTGCTGCTCGAGCCTTGGACCGCCTACTCTCAGGGTCAGGCTGACGCTTTTGCCGAGCAGGGTGGTCGAAACAACGTGGGCGACGCATGCCGTAGCCCTGGACATGTCAAAGCCCGGACAGATTTGTAATCCATAATGTGATTTGCCAGCCTCCTCGGCAGCCAAGAAATCGGCCTCGCTGGACGAGAGGAGATGCTGAGCCGACGCCGACATGACATGGTAATCCTGCATGCTTCCAACCACCGCCGTTAATGTGCAGGCCCTGCTGCTAGGTGCCGCTGCGACTCCACCGGCGAGCTCCAACCATCCTGAAGCTGCTAACTCCTCAGGCGTCATGTTCCAGTCGCCGACCACCAAACCCATGCACTGAATCGTGGCCAGCAACGCTCCAAGATGGGCCAACTTCTGGGCGTTGCCTCTCGCTCCCACTGCTGTCGTCATATACGCGCCGACGACCAACGACGACTGGTTCTGAGCCAGCAGTTGCATGGCTATCGTGTCACGAAAGTCCAGGCCTGGCTGCTCAGGTTGCGTCAACTGCCCAAGGCCAACCTGATCGTGCAGCGAGGCAGCCACGTGTCCAAGAGAAGCAATTCGAAACCTCTTGCACACACACATACTGCTGCCGCCAGCTTCCCCACGCCGATCCGCAGGCGCAAGCTGCTGGCACAACTTCGGTGTATCCTGTCTTGCGCCAATCATGCAGGATATCGTCTTAACCCGCTGGCAACGCGCGAGTCCCTGGCGCCGCGATGATGTCCGCGCGGTGCTGCTGAGCAGGCGATCTGGCTGCAGGCCCCTAGCCGCCCAGGTTGCGCGCGCGCAGCTTCCTGATGTTCGGAACTGTTGTGCCGCGAAGAGCCTGCTCCTGGCCGCGCACCTGGCGCCCGCGAGCCCGCGAGGCGGATGCCAGACTGCTCTGGCGCTGCCTTCCAGCGGCCGCCGCTGCGCTGCCGCCGTATCTGGATCCGCACCTTGCTGGTCCACCTCCGTGGAGCGGTCGCGCGGTTGCCCCTGGCTGGGGGGCGGGGTCGACGGGTGCCCCCAGAGCTGCCCCCTACTCCGCCCAAGCCAGCGCGCCGCCCTTCCAGTCGCCAGCGGCCCCGCCCGCGCTGCACCTTTACCAACAACGGCGCCCCCCCCCAACCGAGCGCCGACAGCGGCTCCTCGGCCCGCGGCGAGGCCGACGACCCCGAGGGCCCGCGGCACTCGGAGGGCCCACGGGCGCCACTGATGACACTCCAGCAGGCGCTTCATCAGCTGCCCCCCCTCTGCCAGCTGCCCCCTGCATCGAGGCGGGGCCTGCCCCGCTCGCCGTTTACCTCTTGAGTGCGCCTGGGGGCAGGCTCCAGCAGACAACGTGGCGACTGGGCCCAGCCCCGCGCGCTCTTTGCCTCGTGGGCGCCCCTGGGGGCCGGGGCTTGCGTTCCAGCAGCTGACGGTCGCGAAGATGCTGCCGCCGCGCGGCGTCGAGCCGACGCCCATGCCAGCGGCGCCGCCAGCAACGGAGCCGCTCGCCGCCGTCGCGGCCTCGCGGGCGCGCCCGCCCGCGACGCTCAAACAGGCCGACCTCGACATGGTGCCCGGCGGGATTGGCTCGGCCCCCCGACCTCCATCAGACGATGGCCTACCGAGGTTAGGGGATAACCGCTGGCTAAAGGCCCCACTCGGAGTCGGCCGCCACCACCGCCGCCCGCGCCGTGGCCGGGAGAGCCTCGGCGCCCTGCTGCAGCTTGGACTCGGCCGCCTCCGCCCTGGCCCCCGCCGCGGCATCAGGCTGAGCGGCCCCCATCGTTGCCGGCGGCGGTCGCGCTTGTGGCCTCGAGCGCGCCCGCGATCAGATCGGCGCAGAGTCTCGGGGCAGCCTCGTCGGCCCGATCATCCTCGGCCCGATCGGCCGACGGCGATCTGGGCCGTTTCGCTCGCCGAGCCCGCGCCGTCAAAGAAGCCTCATTTGACCAGCTTCTGAAAGGCAGCTCTCCCCAGGCCGCGGAAACCAGCGGCGCGCGGAAGAGGCTTGACATGTGCGGGGCTCAAAAAAATACGCGAGATGCATGTCGCCGCCATGATCATCGGAACAAAAAAAGACGATCGGACTTCGCGAGCCGCCAGATGCGCCGAAGAGACAAATCCACGGCCGACATCGGGCCGGACATACTCATGGGGCAATTTTGCAAATCTGGCAGGATTCCCGCAAACCGCGCCCAGGGTTGTCGAATGGTAGGCCAGCTCAGACACGCGCGAAAAAGTCTGGATCACTAAACCATGCTTCTCTGCATTATCTTAAGATGAGCGAAACCAGAACGAGAGGTCCGCCGCTGGCGGATGGCGCGATCGCGCCGGCAACTTGGCGACGCAGCTGCAGCTCCGCAGCGCAAATCCCGCCAATCACCTCAGGCCAGTAGATATACGCAGCGAGCGGGTGGACCATGGCGACCTTGAGCGCCCCCCCGTCGAAGTCGCCCTGCATGGCCCTGCGGCGGAATGCTCTCCGTTTCAACTGGGATATCCTCGGGGCGCTCTGGGCGAGCTTCTGCTTTCCCCCCCGCCTGAAGCTCGGCCCGCAGCGTCGCCCGCCCCCAGATTTGACTGCCGCGGGCCCCATGGCCTCAATTTTAATCTCCAAGTCGACCTTCGATGGCCTGGCCCAGCGCAGGGCGGGGACATGTGAAACCCAATTCTCAGAAGCAACGTGACTAGCCGCCCCGGCTGCGATGGCGCGGGAGAGAGGAGGGGGCGCGGGGGTGGTCGAGTCGATGGGAACTCCAGGAACGGATGGCCGAAAGGTTGTTTTTGTCGATGCGCGCGTTGGGACTCCGAGACTGGTCGAGAGAGAGAGAGAGAGGGGGAGAGAGAGAGAGAGAGAGAGAGAGAGAGAGAGAGAGAGAGAGAGAGAGAGAGAGAGAGAGAGAGAGAGAGAGAGAGAGAGAGAGAGAGAGAGAGAGAGAGAGAGAGAGAGAGATAGAGCGAGATAGAATGAGAGAGAGGGAGAGAGGGGGTCTTCGCTCGCGCGTGGTACCGGGGCAACCCACTCTAGTTAACTTTCTGGGAACGCTGTCGGATGCGTCGATGGTGGGCGAGGGTCATGGTCGCAACCGCGCTGCAGACTGCAGCCGCACTGTGGGCGGCGTAGAACTGGCCAGCAATGATGCTGGCTAAGGAGATGTAGCGAGCAGACTAGACTTGTAAACGGCGACGAAAACATTCTTGCGCGCAAGCGGGGGCCCTGAGGCGGAAGGCTTCTAGACTGACCTCCTCGTATTTGGAACATTTCCCAAATCGAAGGGGCGCAGTGGAGAACCTGGACGCACTCCAGATTCTGGTCGGAACAGCTGCCTTCAAACGGTGCTCATGGCCACTCGTTGCTTTCCGGCCGAGATAGCATTCGGATTTGCACTGGTCGCGAAGGAGACGTCTGGCCTTCCCGTAGATGATGTAACCGGGGATGGAAATGCACCGATAAGACGGCGCCCACCGACAATCTAATTGATGAGAACAATGGGCGCGGCGCGGGCCTGAGAGGGGGGCGCGTCGGCGCGCTCCATCGCGTCGAAGATTCGGATCGACGTGGCTGGACTGACGTCGCTGAAATTCAGGTAGTGCCTGGGAGATGGGAGGTCGCGGCAACATTGCGACCATGCGCTGCCGTGGAGACCGCTGCAGGAACGTGGAGTCCAATGAAACTTCTGACCCGCGCCGCCACGCCGCCCAACGCGCCGCCCCTCACGCCGCCGAGTGGCAGGCTGTCAGATCGATTACCATGCGGCATATGGAGCATGTTAGGCGACTCTCTGACTTGCATCGTTCTAAACTGCATGATTGTCTTGCAGCATCATTACACGACAATGCTCGCAATGGCCACTCCGACCCCTGAGTGTACGCAGCTGTTGCAATGTACTGTCGTCGCCGCAACTGCGGGCTTATCTGAGGCAAGGCGCATATCGGCACGCACTGGCAGGCCAGAAAAGAAAAACACTTCTGCGCCACAGGGGCCCGAGTCATTGCGACTGCAGTGCAGGGCCCTCCGTCCTAGAGCTCAAAGCTGAAACAACACCTGTCCCGATGGCCTCAAAGAAACTGGGCCCGTCGGGACCGCGCCTCGAATGAATCCCGGATGACTTATCGTTATCGATGACCTTCAGGGGCCTCTGGCGGAGCTCTGGTCTGGCCTCTGCAGGTAGGACAGGATCCCCGCCGCGGGAGTCTCCAGCGGTAAAGGTAGCTTAAGGAGAGGAGGCGGCGACTGAGGTTCCACCGCCAACCTCAGACGCAGTGGCCCCGCCAGCAGGGCGT